GCGCGCGGGGGTCACGGGCGCCGCACACGTGCCCGGCCCGCGGGACGAGCCGGTGGTTCCCGCGGAGCGGCGGGACGAGGCGCTCGCTCCTGGCGGTCGCCGTGGGGAGGGAGGGCAGCTCTGCTGCGCCCTGGCCTGGCAGGGACGGAAGGGTGAGGGTCACCCCGCGCTGTGAGGCTTTGGGCAACCTCGGCAGCAGCGCCCGAAGCGGCGTCACAGCCCGGCCAGGAGGAGGCCTCTGCGTGGACCCGCTGCGGACGTAGCCCTAGGGGAATGGGCAAGGCCTGGAGGGCCCCTGGGGGGTCAAGGGTCCCCTCCACAGAGCCCAGCGGGGCTGCCATGGGGTGACCATGGGGCTCCAGCCCAAAAGCCATCGCAGCGGGGAGGTCCACWGAGGGGCAGGGGAGCTGGAGGAAAGCAGGGACACTGCACTTGGATGTAAAACTAGCTGTGTTTTCATACATACAAAGCACATGAGTTTCAACGTAGCTTTCTTTTTTTCTTTCCCAACATCGTTTGTCTGCAAACAGCATCCAAAGAAACCATGAAGTGCAAAGGTGGGCTCTGGTCATAAAAAATATGCTTTATATGCATATACATAACACAATAATGAGTTAAGACATAAGTAACAAATAATGCATTGAGGACATGGAGGGTCTGTCCTGGCCGGAATCAAGGGAATCACATAGGGTGCTACMCCCTCAAGGTGCCATGGGAGGAAGAACAGACCCTGCAGTACAAAAGAAAAAAAAAAAGCATTAATAAATCCCACAGGACATGGAGCCCTCAGCTGCCCCAGGCTTGGGTTGTGCACCCTTTCATGACACCTTACATGTGTCATGATAGAAAAGGCTGCCAAGAAGTGCTGTTAAAAAAAAAAGTCTTTTTTCTTAAAATTCCTAGTTTTTGAAACCATTACGCTGAAAGATCTGTCTCATAGCTGGTCCAGTCCTTTTCCTGCCCTAGATATTCCTCCAGGCCTCCTCTTGAAACAGGCACATTTCTAGCATCACTCTCCTGCTGGCCAGTTTACTGGTGCTTGTACTAAACAGCTTATCCTGGGCAATTTTTCCTGGGCAAAGATCTGGAGGTCCACAGCCCCTCTGACACTTCAGCCTGATCTGGCTTGTGGCCTCCAATCAAATTCCCCATCATTTTTCTTTTCCCTATGAGTTTTCCCTGCCAGATTTGGGGGAATTCGGCCCATGGTGAAAATAAAAATATTCCTTTGGTAGGACACAGTAAAACAGAATTTAGATAAGTGATTTTCTTGGCAAAAGACAGTCACTGGCTCTCTTACTTCCTCTCTTTGTCAGGACTTCGTGAAGATCACRTCATCCTGAGCAAGTGCACGGGTCAGCTCCATCGCAGGGGCTTCCTCCATCTGGTGGCCCTGAGCACAGGAAAGGAAGGCAAGGCAAAGACCAGTCAGTGGCAAACCCAAGGTGAGCAGAACAGAGACCAGCTGGACTTGCCCCACTTGGCTGAATGGGGAAGCTCAAAATCTCTAAATGCTTCGTAACATCCCTGTTTTTGGGAAGCAAGGTCACCTTTGGGTTGTTTTTTGCCCAGATCTCAAGGGAAGGAGAAGGGATGGAGACAGGGAGCAMGGAGCAGAGCGGAGGTGTTGAGTCAGTCTGGGGACTGATACTACGCTACCTAAGCGCTCTCTTGGGGCACCTTATTTCAGACGGAAAGATARAATCTTAACAGCTCAGGAGGTGTGCAGCATCACCTGGCAGGTGCCTGGCAAGTGCAGAAAAGGCCACGGCTGCCAGGTGTTTTTCAACACCTGTGGCTGCCCAACTGCAAAGAGAAGTTCACACTGAGGTCTGAAAATAGACTTTTCCTATATAGTTTTGGGGAGAATGGTGAGGAAAATATTCTAAAATCATTAATTCAAAGAAATGGACTTCTTTAAATTAATCCTTGTGGTCTGAAGTATTTCTAGACATTTTTCTTGCCCAGGATGCTGGAAGCCACATGGTTCCATCACACAAAGGGTGCATAGGACAACTGCCAGCAAACAACCCATCAGTCACCGTGTCCCCCACATGCTGCACATGTGTAAACAGGTGCCTTTTAGGTCTCACAGCCTTCACATCTTACCTTGAACCGAGCATTTCACACACAGATTGGCCACCCACCTGCCTGTCTTTCCATGAAAGACACGGACAGCAAGAGTCCGGCTCRGGAGAGGGTGCTATTGCACCTACCTCCACAGGGAGAGTTGTTGAGCAACCCAACGTGGGTCCTGATGAGTARTAAGATGCCCCAGAGTGGCTCTCACTGTGGCAAGTCCTTGGTTGCTGAGAAAGGCATATTTTAGGGACATCCTTAATAAAGGCATATTGRTGTTTAAAGAAGCCCTTGCTATCGCTGTACTCCCACTGAGGCCAGACAACATGGTCCATCTGCTGGGTGTGTGGGTCCAGGCCGTTATCCAGCAGGAGTTTGTTGTGTTGCATCGCAGTTAGCTCGTTGCATCCCTGAGGATGCGTCCCAGCCTGCAGAAGCTGTGGCCGGTGCTGTCTCAACCACTTGTCCTCTTGGAGCATCGCCCAGTCCYCTTCCCAGTAAATGCTGGATATGTTAAGGGGAGCAGAAGGCTGTTTGGGGAATTTCCCATTTCCTGGCTGCAGGTCAACTTCTGATGGCTTTGGATCTTGCACAGGGAGAGCTGCTGCTGCAGTATGGAGGTCCTCAACTGCAGAGAACTGGACGGTGCAGGACGTGGACAAGCCCTGGCAAGGAGCAGGCTGCAGGGGCGACAGCCCCGGCCCTGGGGAGCCAGGCAGAGCAGTTTGCTGTGACTCCATCTGCACTGCTGCTACTCCCAGCTCTTCTGGAGCAACAGTCACCCAAGCTTCTGATGGGCAGTGTCCAGGGGCAATGCTCTGCCCTAAAACGCTGTCTGGGTTTGCCAGGACAGGAGCATTGTGCCACTGGGACACTAGTGCATTTGAGTCCAGTGGAGACGGACATCCTGAGCCCTTCAGCTGGCTCTGGTTATTAGGATCAATGCTGTCTGCAGGAAGGGAAATGGTACCTTTCCCTTGAAACCACTGTCCTTGGTTTGCCAGCTGATCTGTCACACAGGGCTTGCTGAGGGAGCCTGGAGCACCAGTGATGGTTCCTCCCATGAGCCCAGCTGGGTCAAATGGGACCTGCTCTTTGGGTTGAGCARAGCTGCCCTCAGGCATAATGGGCACAAGAGAGACAGCAGCATCTTGGTCTTGTGCATCAGGTGCCTGACACAGCAGTGGTGTCTGAAACCCCAGTGGTGCAGGAGCTGCTGAATTAACTGCCCAGAGAGCTGCAGGACTGCCTTCCCCACCGCAGGACATCCCCGTTGCACTGCAGAGCGGGAAGTCCGTGCTCTCCTCAGTGTCCTTCCTGAATGGCATTTGCTCCATGCAGGCGTTCACCTCACTGTCCAGCCGCTCAACATTGCCCTGAGATGTCAGCTGCTCTACACACAAGTCGAACAGCGTCTCCTGCCACTGTTGCAGATCCATGTTGTCCACATTGARGTTCTGGAGGGTCTGGCAGATGTTCTCATCCATCTTGCTTTTCTCAAAGAGAGTTTCAATGATGACCAGGAGGGAGTTGCTGTCCTCCTCGGTGTCACTGTCTATCTTGTCTGGATCTGGCCCATCAGGCTCACAGATGAGAGCTGCCAYGGGGAGCTGCAGCACATGATCAGCGTGAGAGACATACCCAGGTGCATCCTGCTTCGTCACGGCCCCAAGAAGAGAACTGAGGTCTGCTGAGCACTGCTCCATGCAGGAGCTGTTATTTGTCTGGAAATCCTCTTCAGTCTGGAAGGAATCCAGGAGGTCAGGAAAATCACTGCCGTATAAGACTGCTTCCCCCGTGACAAAATTGAGAGGCAGCTGCAGGTTTCTCTTCTGCAGATATTCTTCCCCTTCTTCATTTCTTCAAGATAGAGGAAAGAGAAATGGAAGCAGCCTGATTATATTATTTGAGCAAGGCAAAAAAACAGCCTCCAAATAGCAGCATAGGAGCTCACAGATCTGCCTTCTCTGAAAGCATGGTGCTTGGCTGGGCTGTCACTAGTAGAGATCCTAGCAGTGGACGACTGGGGGTGCGGAAAGCTCCCAGGGAGGTCCCTGTGTTGCTTGGGGAAGGCTGCATGCACAAGGCTCCCACGATGCAGAAACAATTGTGTCTGTAACAACCTTCCTACAGCTGCTTTAATGACAGCATTTCCAGTCCTGAGCTCCAGCAGACCCGTGTCTCTCTCCCGCAAGAAGGCATACACAGAGGAAGATGCTGGACATACAGCCCAGCCACACTTTCCTCCAACTGCATTGCCTCCTGGTACCATGAGGAAAATCGACTCCCATGCACCCCTCTGGCCTGCAAGGAGTGAGGAGAAGGTGAGACGAGCCCCGAAGCCAGTGATACTCACGAGAGGACTCGTTGTCTGGAGATGATGCAGTCAGGTTGACCTCCTTTGTAAACCAGCCTGGCATCGGCCTGGACCCAGATCCAGCCACCCTTCTTGGTCAGCAGCCTGAAAACTGTCAGGCCGCTCTCCCCCGTCTTCATTACTGGAGCAGAGAGGAAACACAGTTGGCACGGACTTGATTAGTCTGTTACTCTGTGAGGGTGGACAACACGTGCAAGAGCTCCCGAGCTGSAAGCTCTCCTCACAGCCATGGCATGTGATGCTGTGTTTCATGGCCATGCTCCTCTCTCCGCACACAAAGACACTTSGCAGTAGTAGCATCCAGAACACAAAATCCTTCCACACGGTCACTTCTGATCCTGGACAGGATTGCCCATGCCAGAAGCAAAGGTAACAGCAGAGCTAGAGCTGCACTGGTACTGGGAGGCTGTGATGGTGCCAAGTCCCCCATGATCTGCCCTCATCATGCAGCCGTGATGCCCCCAGGCCGGTCAGGGGTCCCCCCGGTTCCCTCCACACTCACTTCTCATGTGCTTCTCGGCGCAGTACATCACGTCAGCCACATGCACAAGCTGGTAACCGGATCCCCAGATACACAGCTCTGTCTCTGTATAGCCCAGCACCATCTGCCCCCTGAAAACAGAGCACAAAGTGCATCCTCTTCCCAATGTCGGAGAGTTGGCACCTGTCAGAAGCTCTAAGTTTGGGTGGCAGGGAGGCTCCAGCCTGGGCTAGACTGCATCCCATTTTACAGGAAACCCAAGCTGGGTCTGCTGCGCTAAAACACAGAAGCTAGGAAGCCCTGGGACCCAATTAGTTTGTTTTCTGTGTTACTGAGGAGCCAAAAAAACTGGGCTGTGGAAGTGCTCAGCAGTGGATGAGGCAGATTTCCAAAGGAGTCAGACACCTGCTGGGTTTGCTGTGGGAGTTTGGTCAGAAGTKCCCAGCTCCTAAAGGTTTTCTGTTCAGCTTCTGTGGATTCTGCACCTGTGAAGGAGGGAGACACTATACCTGGAATCACAGGCAGTTGTAGTAAAGTCCAGCTTGTGCTTTGTCTCGAAGATGAACATTTTGGTGTGAAGCTGCAGGATCGAGAGTGACTGGAGAGGAGTTGCAATGGCAAAGAGAGCCAGCTGGGGAGGCACCGGGGACCTGCTGCATGCCCTCTTCTGCAGCTCGTGAAGCAATTTCAACCGTCCGTAGAAATTTAAGGCCTTAGGTTAGAAAACAAGAGTATGAGGCAAAGAGCATGAGGAAATGGGAATTAGGCTGCTAGACTCACACCAGCATGGGACATGAGTGGCCTCTAATGAACGTACTGGGCTGGACAGCTCAGAAACAGCTCACTCTGCCAGGATTGTCAGTTTGAGTCTATGGGGTCATCATCGGCCCTTGGAGATTCTGGCCCCAATTGCAGTTTTTCACCCACAGGGCAGCTTCCCAATTCAGTGGCCACCCAGTTGGAGGTGCCTAAATCCTGCAGGGACCTTACCTGAAGGCCTGACCCAGCCTCGTGCACAACAATGTGTGCCCGTAGGCTGTGGTACTGGCTGTAAAACCTATGGAAAGTGACACTGGGGCTTTGAAAGAGCCAGCCCTGGAGGGCTGCTTGGTGCATTTGCATCGTCAAGCAAGATCCCATCCCTCCCAGGGAAGCCTGGCTCCGAGCTGCATTCCCTGGGCTTGGCACTGGAGGAAGAGCTACCTCTTCTGCTGGCAAAGGACCGAGTTACCAGAAATCCTGAGGAGTTATCCAGCAAGCAGCGGAAACGGCAGGTGAACCTCCTCTCCGTGTGGCAGATGTCCTCAAGGGGGAGGTGCTGGGGGCTGTACGTGGCATCAGGTTCAGCTGGCAAACTCTGGTCAATAGGCAGGACTGTGCAACCAGAGAGAGGTGAGAGTTAAGAGTGAGAGAGAGCACTTTCAGCTCCACCACAGACACTGCTTTCCACCCTTTCCACTGCTTTTCCATCCTGTACTGTCCAGCTCTCTGGTGCTGTTGCTCCACACAAAGTGGGGACCATAATCATGAGAAACCATGATAAYGGTTTCCAGCTAAGGAAACCCCTTCTCACCCCAAGATGAGAACTTCAAATGCTTGAAAGCAGAAAACCTTTGTCTGCTGTCCCTGTTCACCCAGCACAGTGAAAGAAACCATCACTGCTCTTTGCTGCATTTGGTAATGAAAGGGATGTGCCAACTGTGGCAACATTCAGGGCTCYCCTGTGCTTGGCTAACATGGTTATGCAGCTAGCACAGGAGAGCCATGGGGTTCTGCAGAGCCTTTTAGTCACGAGCCCACAAGCATTCCCAAGGCAGGGGCTCCCACAGACAGGTTGCAAACACTGATGTGGCTTTCAGACTTCTGCCTCACGGCCTGTCCACAAAGTGGGACGTTGAACCTAAAGGTCAAAGGTTCATGGTCCTGAAGGTCACGAGCTTGGATGTGCCTCCCGGCCCCTGCACTCACCATCGGCAGAGCACTCGGCCCTGTGGGGTGTGGGGGGGTTCAAGGCCCAGTGGAGCTGGCAGTGGAAGGTGGCTCTGTCATCTATGTGGATCAGTTCATAAACACTCTGGTTGATGAGGTCTGACTGGAATGAAAAACCAGGGCAGAAGAGTTTAGATCAGCAGCTGGAGAATGGCAGGGGCCACAAGAAAGTCAGAAGAAATTTAGGAAATGCAAGATGTGCTATTGGGACCAATGCAGTCACTGACGGGGCAGTGGGGAGAGCCCCACTTCTCCCTGGCATCCCATGTAATCTGCAGTGCTCCAGGGCACAGACATGGCTCACTAGTGAGTACCTTTCCTTCCCCACCTCTCTTTATATTTAAATCACATTTTGTCATATTTAAACCATATGACAAAAAGCTCACACACAAAGCCAAGAGGATGCAGAGCCTGCCATTGCTCAGTTTGCATTTGCTGTCACTACTAAAATCATGAGCATGTTTGTTGGATTTAATCACCCCCAATGAATACAACTCCTTTGCCAACGTACATAAAAAATGACCAAAGGGAGCCGGGGGGAAGGGAAGAGCACTGAGGTGGGTTATCAGCACCTGCTGCCCCTGCCTGCATTGCCACTGTTTATTTACACCCATAAAAGTGGTACCCACCTGATGAAACCCCAGGAAGTCCTGCACTGTAGGGGAGACATAGAAGATGTTGCCATCTCCGGTCACAGTGAGGACAAATCCATTGAGAGCCTGAAAAGGCAAATTCAGCCCAGAGTTACTCTTTATAGCTTTAATCCAGCTGCAGGAAAAAAAAAAAAAAGATCTTTTCTAGAAAGTCCAAGGAACAGGAAAGGATCTTTTTCATTAGTGGGAACAAATGGGAAAGACTATGGAAAATGTAAGGCTCGCTAGAAATTTTGCCCAGCCATTTCAATCCTAACATCCTCGAGAACAAGCCTTGTGATGCTAACAGGCTCCTTAMAGGCTCCTTTTTTTTCTTTCTTTTTTTTTTTTTTTTTTTATCTTTACTTAGTATCTTGGAATATTTGAAAGATTGCTCATTTGAACATATGGATTGGCTCCGTACAGATCCAGCGCATAGTCTGGATCCGTAGAGGGACCACGGGAGTCTCTTCCCTTGTGCTCTGCAGCCCCTCCAGGGGCACTGCGTTAGTTTTGTGCAAACCATAGTGCCCCATTAAAATGCTCTCTAGGGCAAAATGGGCAGCTGAGTGCCAGGATTTCTGTCCCATTAGCACTGCACATTTTCCAGATGCCTTCAATCACCTGAGGCTGCTGATGCTCTCTGGTGGCTAAACACATTGACATCATATGGCCTTATTCAAAGCCCCGGAGAGTGCTTAGGCTCAGCTCTGTACTTAGACTCAGTAGCTCTCTTTGGTCCTTTGGCATAACCAGCTGTCTAATGAATTGTTTTGGATGATGCATAGCAGAAGAGTATTAACGTCCAAGGGTACAGACCATTTAAAGCTGCTCGACTTGGTTCTTTTAATAGAAACAACATTTCACTCAGAATTGCTTTAATCTTTTGGGACATTTACTGAAAGCAACAGCAGCAACTTGCCTGAGGTAACAAAAAAGAAAAAAAAAAAGGGGTCATAAATCTTTGGGTTGAAAGCTGGCAGAATGGCAGAGTTCAGGGCATTGTAATCAGCAGTGCTGAGTCTGGTTGGGGACTTGTAGCTAGTGGTGTCCCTCAAGAGTCACTACCAGGTCCAGTCCTGCTCAGCTTACTCCTCAGTGACCCGGATGAAGGGACAGTGCACCCTCAGCAGGGGTTTTTGCTCATTATAGAGGAGCAGGAAGAGTGGCTGATGCACCAGAGGGCTGTGCTGCCATTCAGAAAGACCTAGAGAGGCTGCAGGGCTGAGAAGAACCTCAGACACTTGAGCTGTGGCCCAATACCTGGAGCAGCAGATCCCCTTCAGGAAAGGACGCCCTGTTGGCTTGCAGACGTGTCCATCCATTCTCTCCTGCTGCCTTGGGCTGATCCAGCCCCTGGCTGCCAACATCCATCCCAGTAGCTGTGAGCAAGAGGGTGAGAAATCAGTGTGGAAATGGCCAACCCTAAAGCTCTCCCTTCTCCTCTCTTCAGCGTTACTCCTGGATGGCTACACTGTGCTGCCTCAGGGAGAACACGAAATGTGGGGGAGCTGGAAGAGACCCACTGCAAGCAAGTTCTCTATAAAGCCACCCCCTCTTGACCAGCATTGCCTGTAAGATATCAGCTCCCCTGCTTTGTGGGAAGGCTCTGTTCTGCCAGCATCTGGGGCAGAAACACAAAGGGGCCGGAGACCCATCCATCCAATGTGCCATCAAAGCATCAGTATTGTGGGTTTTTTTTTTGTTGTTGTTGTTTTTCTTTTGCTATTTTCTCTCTCAAATTTGATGAGTTAGGAGCAGTTCAGAGTGTCAGCAGCCTCAGCTTTCTTCATGCTGCCTTTTGAGCTACCTCTAGCTACCAGGACCCACAGCTTTGTGGCTCCTTGGGCTGACTCATTTTCCTTCCCAGTGCCCTAAAATGCTTTCAGGTCACTACCTCAGCTAAAATACATTTCAGGCCTAAAGATGCAACCCTGCTGCATTAACACACGAGGCTCTGGCATCATTTAAACCTATCATTTTATCCTCAGAGAACACAACCCTCCACCCTACGGCACATGTTGCTCAGGAGGATTGAGACTCAAGAGCTCCAGAGCTTTTCCAAGCACWGTGGAGAGGCAACATCTCCCCATCTCCGCAGAGCCAACCCTTGCAATGCCAGCCCTGACACTCACCCATGAAGTAGCTCTTCAGCTTCAGGTATCCCACGGCCAGTCGAAGGATGGAGAGCTTATCRAGCCTGGTGTGCACCTCTTCGGGGAAGGGCAACAGGCTGGTCAGCTTGTTCAGCTCCAGGTTGAATCGGTCTCGATGCCGTTTGGAGGGAGTGGACTTCACAACTTCAAAGGGTGGTGTTTTGGGGCTGCAGAAAGCCAAGGAGAATGTGATCAATTGGCCTGTCCAATGGGCCATTTCCAAACCCAGCACGGACCTTACTGAAGTTGCAATGACTGTAAGACATCAGTGGCCAAGGTAACACCATGTGRCAGCAAGGACCAGCACCAGAAAGTCTACAGACTGGCTCGGGGAGATGCAGCCACCCCAAAGAGCCACCTTAGGCACGGTGTTCTCCAGCTGGAGCAAGGGGTGGCCCTCAGACAGACAACGTGCAGCCTGGCTGAAACAGCTCAGCTGGACACRACAGCCTGGATCCACGCCATCTGTGTGCCCACTGCTGAGCCTTGGCCAGGAGAGGGACATGGAGGTCAAAGACCTACAAGGCCTTGTTTCTTCACCCAGAAATCAGAGAGTATCTGACTGCTCAGAGCCTGATTTGATTGCTTTATTCATTAACTAATGTTACAAAGAATGTGGAAGTCAATTGCAGCACAAAGCCAACAGAAGAGAGATACTATACACACAGCACTTAATAAACAACCTCATTTCTAATGTAGAGGTGTTTTTTTTTTTTTTCTGATTTCTAACTCCTTCAGATGGATGTTTCCAATCTAAAACAACATCTGATGCCAAAGTTGGGCCCTGGGATCAAGCCTCAATCTGCAAAAATAGTTCACGAGAGCAGTTCTTTCCTACTTTAAGTGGAGATGGGGATCTGTGTCCTTCAGCTGCTGTTGTTTCACACCATAGGACTAAGGTCCCAGTCATAAGAAAGCCAGTAAGAGGTAAGTTAATAACTTTCACAAATCTGGGATTTCACTTTGTCTTTTTTTTTTTTTTTTTTATGCTCACTTGAATTTCCTTCCTTGAAAAGAAACCTTTTAGACGTCTTGGGAGACCCCCCCCTCTGTATTTGGTTCAATTGTGCTCAATAACATGCAACCCGTACTGTTTTGATATAATTTGTCTAACCATAAATTCTCTCTCTGCAGGCATCCCTGCTTCCTAAGGCAGCTTCAGATAAGAGGATCTGCCAGTCTTAGAAACAATTTAAGCTCTCTTCTCCAAAACTACTCTCAAATCTCATCTGGCAGGCCTGCTTTCATGAGTGGCAAGAGAAGAAATGAATATTAAATGAAATACAATGAGGTGTCCATTGAATTTTCACTGCAGATTTGTACCAAGGGGACTTCTAATCAGGGATGGATGATTGCAGCATTTCTTCTGAAGAAGTCTGTCCTGCTGCTTTGCAACAGGACTGCTGGGAGAGACGTACCCTGCTTCTCACGGGGGCTAGGTGCAACTCGTTGCTGGACATGTCTGGACACGTCAGGCAAAACATATTGGCATCAGTGTCCTCATATGCTCCATTACTCAGCAGTTAGCAAACARTTTTCAAATCACACTTATCAGGAAGGTAAAGAAAAAATAAAGAAAAAATAAAGATGGCCTTGCCATCAGAAACAGAGATGAGATGAGGGAAAGAAAAAAAAAAAAGAGAGAAAAAAATTGCCTTCTCAGATGCCCTTTCAAGAAGAATCCTCTGCACAAGCACTATCCAAATACATCCACAAACACTCGGAAAAGTGAAGAAAAGGAAACCAGACATGGGCAAGAAGCACTGCCCTTTATAGTGGGAGTGAAAATTGCTCTTTTGCCTACGGACAAGGCATCTGAGCAGCCCAGCATGGTGGCCTGTGCTTTATGCATTGGCTAGAGGCGGCTGCCAAGACCACCAGGTTCTTCTCCCTATGGGAGACAGGCACGTGCTGTGTTTCCACCACACCACAGAAACTGTCCCATCTGCAGGAGCGTTATTCCATAGGCATGGACCAAATGCAGCACAACCAAGCTGCTGAGCTCATGGTGAAGCTCCTGGGAGAGGGCCAAGGTCCCTGTGTAAATCTGCCTGATTCATAGAGCCGCAAGGGAAGCTTTGCTCCAGAGGCAAAGGCTGTGATACTTGTGGCCGGGTTGTTTTTCACCAGCTGCACTTTGGACGGGCAGCCCAGCAGCAAATGTACCGCTTTGGCCAACGTGATATAGCCTAACCTGATAATAACTTAAAAAACGGCAATTTGAGGGTTGCTGGTGCCAAAACGCTGACACATAGTCTTTCTCCACAGTTTAAGATAGAAGCATCGAGCAAACTACCAAGGGACCAGACATCTCACTTAGCCCACTTACCACACCAGTCCTGTTACAGGACAGGCGAGCAGGAGAAAGCTTGGAGAAAGAGCAACCCCTGTTTTTTTTTCGCTTCTTCAAAAGTCCCCGGTAATTGCATAAAAAAGGCTGTGACTCACGTTCTTGCCATGTACGTAGGCGGTGCGACACTCCCTCCTTCTGTCCCAGCACTTCCCTCTCCCCCCARCTCCCACAAATATATACCTGTGTCTACTACATTCCTAGCACCCCAAGCCATGACACTGATAGGACTTTGGAGCAGTTTGGGAGGGGGGGAATGAGATCCGGGGTCCCACAGCCATGAACTGCAGCCSGGCATCATGGCAGTCAATACACACTAGCTATTGAGCAACATATTTATTAGTTCCTGCTCATTAGCRTTCTTTAATTAAGCAATGACGGCGATACTCTCCATTTACACAAGTGCCCCCAGCACTGCCCTCTAAGCAAGGCTGTCACTGAGGCTGGATACTCCYGTTCCTCAGGGTCGGAAATGAGCAAAGCCTCGGGGTTGCAGAGGGCAGGAGACACCGGCCCCAGGGAGCTGCCCACCCCAAAGCGCCCATGGGGACAGGGCAGGGGTCCCCAGACACGTGTCCCCCTCGCGCCCACCTCTTGGGCATTGGCTTCTTCCTCTTCCTCCGGGCATACATGTCAGCAGCGGCCACAGCACCGGYGTCCTGTCCAGAGTGTGGGGCGGCACTGACAGGCGGGACTGGACCGGGATGGGATGGGACGTTCCCAGGGGAGGGCTTTAAGGAGGATCACAGCGGGACGGGCTCCGTGGCGGCTGGTCCAGGGCAGGGTCCCCGCGCAGGGACCTCTGTACCCGGGCACTGAGCAGCAAGGCTTGGAAGCCCCCATGGGACCCTRTTCCCCAAGGAGATATGGTGTCTCAGAGACACCAAGCACCACCATGGGGTCAATGTGCTCACTGGGCCACCATCCCCAGAGCCAGCGTGCTCTGAGGGCCACCTTGCCACTGTGCTGGGAGCCACTATGCTCAGAGCACCGTCATTTGCAGCAAACACTGCATGCAGGGGCCACCACGCAGTGCAAGGACCACCATGGCCGCAGGTCACCATGGCCAGGGTGCCGAGGGCAGGCAGCAGAGGTGGGCATTACTTGCCCATCACCTGGTGAAGAAACGGCTCTCCCTCCAACCAGCAGCCATACCATGTAACTCTGAGCAACCTCCATCAGCCCAATATTATTTTCCTCTCTTTCCCTTTCCTCATTTCCCCCATTTCTGAATCCTTGCTGAGTTGACAGATTTGTGGGGATGAAAGAGCCCAAGGTCTCTATAAGCCCCAGATCTCATTCCTGGGGGAAGGTAAAGTCAGAACCYTCTATTTTATGCACAGTTAGGACTATATTTCCCCACTTGCGCTGCTTTACAGTTACGTGCGCTGCATGGGACCTGCCATGTTACTGCAAGGGCACTTGTCCCTTAACAATACCGARAACACGCCGCTGACAGCGCCGGAGGCTGCGGCTTCCCCGGCGCCCTCCTCCTTCCCTCCTTCCCGCCCTCCTTCCCGCCCACGTCCTGACGCCATCTCGGCGCGCGGGCAGCGGCGGCCCCGGCGCAGCGGGGCGGTCGCGGCCATGTCCTTGTGGCTGGCGAGGCTGGGCCGGGCGGCGCGGGGCCGCGTGCGGGGCCGCGTGCGGTGCGCCCCGCGGCCGGCGGTGAGCGGGGTCCCGCGCCGGGGGAGGCCGCGGGCACGGCGTAGAGGCCGCGGGAAGCGGAGGCCGCGGGGAGGGGGGTTTCGAGGGGAGCTCGTCTACGTGAGGTCGCTGCTTCGCGCTTGACACGTTTTACCCCATTTAGTGTTACCCCATTTAGTGTTTACCCCATTTAATAGTGTTAAAACTATTATAAAATTATGTCTATTCATACAAAAAGCCCGGAAAAGCGACTCCTTGAGCGTAATTGAGTTAAGAATGCTAAAATCTGTTAACCTTGCCGTTATGTTTTCTTCCAGGCTGGGTTTCACATGAGCCCTAAGCAGGATCTGCAGTATGGCTGGCTGGCTTACATGTTGGGAGACAGAACCACTAAAAAGTTTGACAAAAACAGCAAGGTTTTTACAGTGGAGGGAAACTTGTCTTCTGGGAAGGGCAAACTCGCACAACAAATAGCAGAAAAATTAGGTAGGTCATATTTTGGGGTATGTCTTAATTATTTCTGTAGTGTTTTGTAGAATTTAATAGTGCAACTGTCATTCTTTAATTCACCAAACCAGCAGTTCTGGACTAGCAAAGTATTATTTCAGCAATGCCACTGTTATCCTGGAGGATTCATAGATATGGAGAGACTAAAATGTTGGTGAGGCTTGAAATTTTATTTCTTATGAGCTGTTCTCTCGCCACGTTCTTAAATCCGTTGAAGTCAGTGTGCACCTAAGATGTTTTTACGTGGAGTTTTCCTATATCAATGGTCTCATGTCATGAAAGGGAGTAGAGCATTGGAGGGAAAAACATGCTGCTTAGAAGAACAGCTTAGCGCTCATTGTAAAGAGCTAGGAAGGTAATAATTTCCACAAGGCTTCATCAACCTTGTGAGCTGATTGACCAAAGTGTTGTTTAGGTTAGCGGTATTTATTTAAAATAAGATGAATGGGGAATATTTATTATAAACAAGCAAAACTTAATATGTTAACATGTGTTCTGTTTTTTTTGTCAGGAATGAAATATTTCCCAGAAGCAGATATCCATTACATGGACAGAATCACAGGAGACAGAGCACTGCTGGATGAGAAGTTCCATGGCTTTTGTAACCTCGAGAGGTTTTACAGCGATCCCAAATGTCCCGATGGACACTCTTACCGCCTGCAGGCCTGGGTGTTTGGAAACCGTGTCATACAGTACGCCGACGCGCTGGAGCATTTGCTGAGCACAGGTTAGGTTTCACAGTACATGAGTTTTGCCTCTAAATTAACTTTTAAGTATGAGCTCTGTCTTTGAAATGCATACACTGGCCTGAAGTGTGTATGGTCTTGTACTGTTCTAAAAAGCAAAGCAAAAGAAATGCAATATAACAAGTTTCTACTTTCCTGAAAGATAAAAATGAGTATGTTGGAAGAGCCTCTGTTTCCCTAAGGTATCAGTTATACAGGCTTTTAAACACTCCCTAGGCTTTGTTCCTGAGAGCGGCTTTTTGGATTGAGCACTGCTCTGTGAGAGTATTCTTATAATTTTTAAATATCACAATTAAGGTGAGAGAAGCTTTTATACATCCCTCTTGCTTGTGCTTTAATCACTCTTTTTCAAAAAAAAAACAAACCCAAAAAACCATTAAGCAATGCTTATTAAATGTAGCAGTCATGTAAGGATAGGCATGGTAACTGAACGAATGGATCAGGCAGGCATGTTATACTTAATCACTATATTTGTGCAAGTGGAAAGCACTTATTCTTTTGTCTTATTTAAAACTTCCTAGAAAAATATTCAGAAAATTAACCGTGATAGCAGCACTATCTTTGGTCTTTCATGTTGTCACAAACAATCTTTTTGAGCCTTTCTTTCCTGGGACTTTCTTTCAATTGCAGGACAAGGGGTGGTGCTGGAGCGCTCTCCCTACAGTGATTTTGTGTTTCTGGACGCGATGTTCAAAGAAGGTTACATCCACAAACGATGTGAGTTATCTGCAAACAGAAGTTAACTTTGCCATAATGCTTGCCCTGAGTCAGGGAGTAATATTGACTTTTGAGCTATTAATCACAGAATGCTCTACGTTACTGATATGATAAAAGAATCCACTGGCAGAACCCCCACACTGTGGCCCTTTTGCCACACTCTCACCTTCCCTGTGTTTTACGAGAAGCTCTCTGCACAGGATGTGGAAAACTTAGGTTTCTCCAAACTTAAGTCAGAAATGAGTTTCCATTTGGTAYAAATAATTTGTTAAATATTCTTACATTTCAGTGCTTATGGATTCTCATTTTAATTATATTGCTTTTTACCTTTTATTTCTGGAAGATTGTTCAGCCTGAACTGCTACTTGAGGAAAAGCCTATCCTACACTTAATATATCCTCAAAGAAGAGGAGACCACAAATACTGTGGTGGGGAAATAATTTACTTGAGTGTAGAATACGCTCAACAAATGCAGAAGTGGTTGCAAATTGACTACCTAGTTTTATAATTTTAATGGAGTTATCAYTGCTCTTGTTCATTTATTTATTTTGTATATTTGTATGTGCGGCTGACCTAAGAGCTGTGCGGCTCTTAGGTCAGTACCATCTTTTTCTGTTTTTGTCTAGGCCTTGATCACTACAAGGAGATCAAAGAGATAAGCATCTGTGAATTTCTGCCACCTCACTTGGTTATTTATATAGATGTGCCTGTTTCAGAGGTACATAAGAGGATTCAAGAGAAAGGAGAGGTAATTTCATCTCTTAAAACCRCTGTTATTCTCCACTTACATCTGTCATAACCTATCCCTTTTGCATGAATTCCATAGGATTTGCTGCAGAATTCTGCTTCTGAAAAGCTTTGGTCCTCTTCAGACATTAGAACTGTGTTCATTGATGACTGATTATTCTGATACATTAACTCAAAAAAAAAAAAAAAAGAAAACAAAAACAAAACCCTTTGACCACTTCAGCCTTCTTTCACCTCTGATGTGAGAAGCTGTAACACTCGAGCACTCTGAAAAATCAGCCTGTGATGCGGCACCTGGCATGCCAGGAGTCACATCTACSCAACATGCTGCTTTCAACATGCTCTGCATTTCTCTCTGCTTCCTGAGTGCTGTCAGCTGCAGTTGGCTGCCTCCTTTTCCAGTTTTACTGCTCAGTTGCTTTTTCAGAGCTGCTGGACTGTTCACGTTAACGTGTGGGTTACTGAGAGAACAAATGCCCAGCAAGTTGAGTCAGTTCTGTGAAATTAAAAATTTTACTGCATAGTGCTTTCATGCTAACTCAATAGAACTGTCCTTTTTTAATCTGAAAGCTAACTTATTTTATAGGTGTTTCATCAGATAGAAAATCCAGGGAACTTTCAACTAATGTGATATAAAGTTAATAAGAACTGCAGTGTGCTGGTTTGCCACTTGTACAAATTCAGTCTTACRTAAGGTCAAAGTACGTGAATCTGCCTGTTGTTAATTTTGGCAATTGCAGGACACTGACTTTTTATTTCAAAATCCTTCGAGGCTTACATAGTTTCTGCAACTGCCTGGGCTTAATCACTCCCTGGAAAACTAACTTTTTGAGAGCTCTTTTGAATAGGACTTTTAATTTACACAGACTCAGGAAAAATGAGGTGATTCCCCTAACATACTGAAGTAAATAGGAAGAAAAGATTTCTTTTTTGCTTTGCTTTGGCATTCTTCTATTGAAACTGTTTTTTTCCCCTTCTTTCTAGATTCCCTAGACTATTACAAAAATCTTACTCATATGGCTGATTATTAAAGACTTTAAGGTATTAGGTGTGGGATAAAGCAGTGATGTCAGGAGAGTGCRAATCATTCCCAGGTCTCTCTAGATGTCTAGTGCCACAAATTCTGAACTCTCTGATTCTTTACACCTTCATCAATACGTGTGTGGTTTAGTGGATGTGTGGCTGCTAATAAGAGAGTGAGCTCTTGACAGCTGGTATAGCTACTTTAAACTCTCTGAAATCTGTGTTGTTGGAGAAGAATGGAAACAAACTTTACAACATTGTTCCTCTATTTTCTACTTTTTTTTAGACATATGAAAAAAAGGTGCCTACTGCTTATCTCCAGCACATTGAAGATTCATACAAGAAAACTTTCCTCCCGCAGATCAGGTTAGCAAACTAAACTGTGTCATCCAGTGAGTAAACACATTTTTGAGTAAAAATATGTCCAGACCCTAAAATCTCTGCCAATAGAAGCAAATGAAACCATGTCATACATACATTACAATATTGGAAGAATAAAAATGAAGGTTCTGTAGGTGTAACCTTTCCTGAATGCTATTTCTGACTCTACTGAGATTTGAAGCAGTGGAAGAGTGGTATGCAGAAAAATAAATTCATTAGACTTTTGTTAACTCATCTAAGATACTGCAAAGCTAATGAGTCGTGTACCAGCAGTACATTTCTTCATTCTGCTTGTCCTGGGGCATTACAAAATGTGTCCCCCACAGATGCCAACACAGGTGTCAGGCGAGTTGGAGCTGTGACCTAAGAGGGAGGGTGGGAGATTTTAGGACTGTCATCCCCCCGAGAGCAGAACAGTGTTGAATGCACCAGAGAGGAGGGAAATGCTGCATTTTCTTTGGATCAAACTGAGCCCTRGAAATACAGTGTGTTGTTCAGTGAGGCTAAATCCTAGGATGACTGGTCCTGCTGTGATTTCAACTCTCTCCCCTTTGGCAGTCCATGGTCAGTAGACTTGTTAGGCATCCTTGTTGGTGTAAAGGTTTGCAGTAGTTTGTCAGGTTCAGTCTTTGTGCTGAAGTCTGAAGGACTTCTTTCCCCTGAATATGGAAGAGTTTGAAGCGTGCAGAGCTTCTGCTTTGCACCTCTCTGGTCCTCACTGGTAGCTTGCATACTGGAGGAATAAACAGAAGCCACAGTTGCCTCTTAACTGTTGTTTCGCTGTTTTGCAGGATGACCCAGTACACTGTTTTGTGCCATGTTGTTAATTTCTGGATGGACAAGGAAGTATTTGATTCTTTAGTTCTTTAGGACAACCAAAATGAGGTCCAGACAGGCAAAACAGAATTTAATTTAGATTTTGAAGCAAATTCCAGGCCTGGACACTCTTCACATTAAGCTTATCCTATCTTGGTTTTTTTTTTTTTTCTTTTTTCCCTTCTTTTTTTTTGGGGGGGGGAGGGGGGGGAAAGGTCTTGAAACTCAGTAGGAAAATGGTTTGTTAGTAGCATTCCTGTTCTCTGATTTAGCTGAAGCATCTTGGCACTGCCCCAAGTGGAATGTCCTGTGTAATGTAGCTATCTCTTTTAAAACTGATGCTTCCTTTCTAGTTTGACCTTTTTGTGAATGCCTTTTAGTGTCTCCTTTGATAGTGGTTTGCAAGGCTGGTGCTGTGGCAGATATTGCTTAGTGTTTTGAACAGACTGCTTTTGTCTTTCACTGCATCTTCTTTCTTTGGGCCCAGAGTCTAAGATTACCAATGTTGTCTTTCATATTCAGTGTTGCTTCTCCAGAGCAGCTGTTTTTTTGTTGATGAAAACCCCAATAAACTGCAGAGGGYCAAGTTACTTGCTCTGCGCTCTTAATGTAATGGCCAGGATAAAGCTCTGCATTTGGTCAAGTCTGGCCTGTTCTTGCTGAGGACAGTTGAAATGGAAGATGTCAGTGTGCACGCTCCGCTGTCGGGACAGCTCCCTTGACAAGGATGCCATTTATCTTCTGCTGTTCTGTGACTGTGGAGAGTTGCATGAGCCTTTCTGCTTTTTTCCACACAAGTTAAGAACAATCTCTTTAAAGAATTCCCCATTAAGAGCAGTAGTTAAACTGCAGCATTGCAGAATCTCAAATGAGATGCTTGTYGTTGGCTCTGTAAGAGCTATGGGGTTCTCAAGAAGAAAAGGCACTCTATAAATGAATGTTTTTTTTTCCTCTGTTTAGAGATCCAACAACCTGCGTCATATTGCTTTGAGTTAGTGCCGGCCTAGGAACTAATGATAAATGAATTTAATCTTTTCTTTGTAATAACCTATGAGTATTAACATACTTGCTATAAAATTGAAAATCTGCTGAAGCTGTGGTTGTAAGTGGTAAGAAGTGCCACTAGGCTTCAGATAGGTTGGAAAAATTGTAATTGAGGCAGCTATACACACATGAAATAGAAACAAATGCATAGATTGGGGTGGGTGTGGGTTTTTTTATTTTTTTTTAAATTTTTTTTTTAATTTAATTTTTTTTTTTTAACTGAAACTGTGTAGGTACCACAGGCTATTTGTTTTTTGAAAACACTTTTGTACCAGGAAGGAAACAACTTGCAGATCTAATGGAGATTTTATTACAAGAACTCCATAAATATTCTAAATAAATACACAAAAAAAATTGAATACTCCTACTATTGTGTCTTGGAACTTCATTTTATTTCATTTTGGAGCAGGGCAGTGAGGATAGGCATAGCAATTACATCCTGTGAGTTGAAGATGTCTTCTCTTTGCAGTGAGACCAGTGAAGTTTTGCAGTACACCTCAGCTGAGGCTGAAGATGTGGACAAGGTAAGATTTTTGCAGCACATGTGTTGGCTGTAAAGCTGCCTTTATATGTGAAAAGACTTCTTGTCTTTCCTGTTTTGGTCTTGTCATCCTTTCTGGATAATCAACATGGCAATTGTCAAAGTTGTACCTTAGTGTTAACCATATGGCAAAATTGACTCTTTTTTTTTTAAGTTCCAAGAGCAAAAGGCAAAGTGTCCATCATTCAGTTTTTGTCTCTAATTGCTTTGTTCAGATAAGCTAGTTCTGGACCGAGCCAGATAAATTGCCATCTCATTGCCAGAAATAAATTACCTCCTAGTATGTAAGAGGACTAACCTGAGATGACTGATTCCTCCTGCTCCAGACTGTTACTTCCAGAGTAGGTGCAGCATCTTTGCCTTATTTCTGCAGATGTGCTTGCTAGGGGGATAATTGAAGTCTTTTGCCTCCTGGTAGTGAATTTTTCTCTGTAGGTGTTGCCTTCTGTCTAGCTAAAATTTCAGTGTCCAAGCCTTACATAATTCTGAACAGATTTTTAGTATCTCTTCCTGCTGTAGGGATGAAAGTTTCACACTGAACCCCTCTTATTTCCCAAATTCTGCAGTGGAGATGAGARTATCAGCTGCACTATGATTTTCCTTTTCTGATATGTTTTACCATTTTGAATGTTTTCATCTTCTCTTTCTTGCTGAAAAGCTCACATCCTTCAGGGGTCTGTTTAATGCTCTCTTTGCCTCTGTTGCAGAGGTGAAAAATGAGAGGCTGGTTATATTGCTTTCTGCTTGAGGAAATAGGCCCAGACCTTTACATATCAGTAGGTGACTCATTCCTAATAAGCTGGAAAGAGAGAAGTGTCAGGGTGATGACTTTAAGTTGGAAAACTTGCTATTTGGGGAAAGGGGAAGAACAATAGTCTGATTTAAAGTATATCCTATTAATGCAAATATTCTCATTTTAGCATTTGCTTACTATGTGCTGAATTTAGGGACAGTATGTATAATGGTGCTTTTAACAATATAATGTTACTTTTATAAGTTTCAGTACTGTGCTTAGGCTGCTTGTTCCAAGCTTGCTTTTTCTCTACTCTATTTGTAGTGACGGGAGGATAACAATTTCTTTTAATAGCACCCCCTAAACAGCTTATCTAGGAGAGCATCCTTGCTCCCTTTGGAAAGAACATGATCTGTATGGAGGTCAGTATATCAAGTTGGCAGCCAGGCAGTGGTGGCAGTGTGTTTGCTAAAGTCTCATGCAAATGGCATTATTTTGGTGCTTTTCCTTCAAAAATGAGCCAAGAAGTTATGCTTTGAAGCAGAATTTAAAATGTGCAGTTATGGTTGGCAAAGGCTGCAGGCCCGGAGCACACCTAGGTATCTTTGTAACTCACTCCATCCTTTTTTTCCTTCTTTGTGTTACCTGGTTTGCGGGCTCTAAGGCCCCCCCAGGTGAAAATCCTCAAGYCATCTGGTTCCAATAATTACCAGTTACTCCAACAGCCCAGAAAAATGGGGCAAGAATCGAAGGGAAATAGAGGCCACCTATGACATTACACATAGATTTGGGAGGGCACTTCCTTCTTGCTGTGGGACATACCTGAGAGCCTTTCTTGAAGAAGGAGTAATAACGAGTAATAAGAATTTTTTTTGTTAGATACAAAGAACAATTTGAGATTGGGTTTGCGGTTCTTATCGAGGAGGCTAGAAGAGAATAATGAAAAATTCCCTATTCCTGCTTTGTCAGCAAATATAGCCTCTAAGCAATACGAATGTCTCAAGTGAAATGATTTTTCARCTAGACATGTCTTTAAAGTACCTCCTCCTACCATAAAATGTAATACTGGTGATTGAAGGGACCCTCATAGTTGACTCTCTCTCTTTTGTAATAACTTTTTTTATTGCCCTTTCAGTTTAAGTGGTGATAAATGGAATTTAACATTCTCTCACGTACAGATTACCATGGATTTAGTATATGGCAAATAACAGCTTTTCCTTTATTACTTTATTACTGGCACCTGTTTCCTTGTTAACAGAACAACAGTTTGTCAACAGGATTTGGGTCCTGACCTAAATAGCTCAGGAGCTCTATTGATCTGTTCCTTCCAAGTTGTTTCAAGGTATTATCCCCACCTCAGGGATTTATAAGATAGCATCAGTGCATCCTCCCGATTTCCTTCAGATCAAGTCACTTGTGGGTAATTTCCTCGTGCTTGTGTTAAGGAATTATCCASTGTGCCAGCAAAGATGTGTGTTCTGGTGGAACCAGTCAGTAAATGGAGCTCAGATATAGTATTGATAACCCCTGAGCTGCTAGATCAGTGGTTTGCCGTGTTACTTGGGTGAGTCATCCTTGGTGCAGAGCTGTGAGTTCTGCCTTCACTTTCTGCTCAGGTGGTGTGCACGCACAAGTAGTTTTTGATGACCGATCCAAATGGGAGCCTCTGGGCTTGTGTTACTGCTTTATTAKGATATTCAAGCCTGAGATATTAATMGGTTTCCACTSTGTGAGCCCTGAGCACCAAGAAACAATTGCCACAAGGTGGAATAGCTAGTTTCTGGGTAATAAATTGCTCCTCTACCTTAATGAATGGACTACAGAACCTTTTGGGAGGAGAAGAAAAGGGGGAAGGGATGCACTAAATGTTGGATATTTTTGTTTCCTTCTCATTGTACTTGTGAGGTCTGGTCACACCACTTCTTAGTATAATTTTRTCCTCTGATTCCAGGTGATTGAAGATATTGAGTACCTGAAGTTTGATAAGGGGCCTTGGCTGGAGCAGGATGATGTTTCGTTCCATCATTTAAGACTTTAGTAAGTATAGTGCCTTTGAATAGCATAACACTACTAAGCATCAGAGCTCTGGGAAGTCAGTGACTAGACTTTTTCTTCAAGTATCTTTATATTTGCACTGTGGCTCTCTTCTTTATCAAAAATCAGGAGTGATAACAGGGTTTTGTAACCTGGGTGCTTGACATTATGATGTGGGTGTGCAGTTTTGCTGTTGCTGCTCCGTAATTGATGGACCAGAGACTGCAGGTGAATAGTTCCCCTTTGGTAAATGAATCAACAAAACTTGATAGTCATTTCCTAAGTGCTTTTCTAGGGCAGAGTGTGATGTTGTGGGTTTTTTTTTTTGTGAATTCTCCTGCTTCTAGATGGTCACAGTATGCCAAAAGATATGTAACTGCAAGACAGTGCTCTTCAGATTGGCTGTGTTCAAAGTGTTTTCTTCTAAAACTAGCTCAGTTTCTTATATGCTGAACTTTCTGTCCTTAACTATCTTTCAGCAGTYGGGAAACTGGCTTAAGAGAACAGAGGGAAAAGGAAATGGGCAAACTAGGCCAATTGGTGAAAAAGTTTGGTTTATTTGTTTTGTTATTGTTTGKTTTTTTGTCTTTTTTTCCTCCTTTTCCTAACCTCTAGTGTATTAGGAGGTTATAGGAAATTTAACCCTGATTTACAGAACGAAGTTTTGCAGTTTTGTCATTCATTTTTAATAATAACAAAGATAATTGTCAAGTGTATCATTTCAGATTGTTCWTTATGTTAAAAATCCTTGTCAGCCATATTGACTCTGAAGAGATAAGATTCAGATGGTAGAAAATGCATGGAAATGGAAACTCCRTGTTGGAATTGCACCCCAGAGYATYAAATGCYACATTCARGTGCTAGTTCATGAATGTTRAAGCTGACACAAACTCTGTACTCCATATTTTAGCCCATCCTTTGCATCTTCACATGCCAAAGTTGTCAATATTTCTTTTTATTGCCCTTATTTTTGCAATGTTCCAATAATAATAATAATAATAAAAAAAAAAGCTTGTGATGCCGTGGCCTCCGCAGGCTCTCAGATGTCCCATCCCTGTGTTGCTTTTGAGGTTGGCCTGCTTTTCCAGCGTGCTGTGTGCCCGTGGGCTGTCCTGCTCCATATGCTGGCACATGCTGCCCTCTCGCGGGTGCCAGACTGATGATGAATCCTGTGCTGGAGTGATTCTGGGATGGGGAGCCTGGTCAGAAAGCACTTGGCTGTTTGCCTGGTCGTGCTTGCTTGCTTTCCATCTCCCAGGGCTTGGCACAGCTCACTCGTTTGGACTTCGGCTGTTTCGGGTCRGATGTGACTTAAAAATTCTATGTATGCTGATCTGGGCTTTGCAATGGGAGGCAGTATATCTATAGATATAGATATATAAATATAGATATCTATAGATACATATTTTCCCGTTTCAGTTCTGGTTTGTTTGGCCCAGGGCAGTTGTTTTTTTAATGCCTTTCCAGCTCCTACCAGCATGCTGTTTGGAGGAGAAGGGATGAAGGGCAGGTGAGGATAACTTTCGTGTTAGATGGGGCCTAGTGTATGGAAACCCTAGCAGTACCTCAAAGTCCTTTGGTAGTGCAAATAGCAAATAAGCCAATCAAGCCAGTGAGCCGTCTCCTTCTAAAATCAGTTGCATAACAGCATTTTTCATCTCCCACCTCGCCCTCTTGTCCTTTCCCTCTTGCCCTGGCAGAAGTTCATGTGGGAGAAGCACGTTCCTAGGTCACTGCCCTTCCTTTGAGGAGACGTGGGACAAACAGGACAGGCAGGGAAAGAGGATGGCAAGGGGCCTCAGCCTGTGCCCTGGGTGCTTTGGGAGAAGAGATGAGAGTGTCCAGGGCTGTAACATAGTTCCAAGTCTGACTCTTTGACCAGTGTAACAATGGGAAAATCTCTAGCTAGTTGGGTTGTGAATTGTTTTAATAATGGCAAATTAAACCCCAATATTCCTACGTTATTAGGACTATGTAGTGTCTGTGTGTCCTCAGTTTTTCTTGACCTTTCGCATAATGCTAGGGGTAGATGGAACCTACTCTGAGACTTATGCAACTGCACTGTGAGCAAGCTGTGAGTAGGAAGTATGGTAAGTGCCAGAAAATAATGAACAGAGACAGTACTTTGGTACTGGGAAAGAGAGAGAAAACTAAGGATACTCCTCAAGTGCCTTTAGATGCTTCCTGCTGGTYGGGGAATGAGTTCAGACAAGCAAATGTGCTTTTGCTGTTGTGGCAAGTGTCTTTGCATGGTGCATTGACTTCWTTTTCCAAAGGATTTCTTAACATAAAAAGCAGTCCTGACTCTGGAGAAGGTATCTTTGGTACCTCTATCTTGCCTGGATGTTCTGTTAGGCATTATTTTTTTCAGAAGGGGGCAGTGGTTTTGTGAAAGAAATTAAGAGCAGCAGGTTTTCTGTCGCAGGCACTACGTACGGTAAGTTGTGCTTGGGAATTGTGCTTTGAAGTTGCCGTTTAGCATTTGGCTGAGATGCCTGAAAGAAGGGCCTGACTGCACTGGATTGGAGGTGTGTATGCATGTGTGCATATGCCCAGATAGGTTATGTCTGTGTTCTCCTGCAGACTTAAAATGTCCAGAACATCTGCTGCTATTTGGCAGAGCTCAACTATCCCATTACTATGGGACGCTGGGGTGGGAAGAAGGGATGCAGGTGTTTATTAACTGGTCAATTTGTGAATATTTCACAGCCTGTGCTGTTAAGGCTAAACTCAACAAGGTATTTAAAAATTGCCTGCCAGTAGCCTTATTTTAGTCAATGTTCTTAGCTTGTTTTCTTTCAAAGGGCCTTTTCAAGTTTTCTGGGATTCAGGAAGAAAATCCAAGTGCACCCATCTGGGGCAGCTTTTCCATCCCAGCTCAGTTATTCCACCCTTCTCCTCTAATGGGAAGTATGGGGGTGGCACATGGGAGGTCTGATGTTAGCATGTCCTGGAAACAGCTTTTCCCAAATGAYTAGAAAATATTTGACTTAATAGATATGAGGGCAAATAATACACAAGTTAGTAGGAAACATTTATGCTCATGTCCTCCCCCTCTTCCCTTTAAGAGGATTCTTGCAGTTCGTTACTGGTCTGGCCGCAGGGGCATGATTTTGCAGCGTGTGTCCGCTCACTGCGTAGCAGCATCACAGGCTTTGTGCATCAAGGGAAAGTGCATGTTCTGAAAGACAATTAATTCTGCCTTGTTTGGGGCATTTGCTTGTTTTATGTGCCCTGTTGCGAGCTATTTGTAAGGAAGTGCAGCTCCCTGAAATCTCATTATGCAATTGTTAGCCAAGCTCGCGAGTATCGAATTGAGGATGCAGCCCTTGTCCCCCGCAAGTTGGTGGCTGATGTATTTTTCCCTGTGTGTGTGTAGATGGCACTGTTGAGCTGTGCATAGTGCCTGTACCCAGAAGGTGGCTTTCTAGCAGTTTCTCAGACATTGCAAATTCAGGGTCTTGGAAAGTGCCRTTTCCACAAGCGTGGATTTTTGCTTGATCTTGGTATCTGTACCTCTCATAGCTCACTTGTCATAATCACTGTCACAGCAAAGGTCTGGTAAATTAGTCCCAGGCAGGACGTTACTTTCCTCCAAACCATTTGATTTGCCTCAGTGCAAGGTACCTAGTAAGTACTGATACATTTAGGGTGGGAATTTGGGGAGGAAGAGCATTAATGCGTGTGAGGGTTCATTTGTGAAAACAGATTGAACAGGAGGTAATTAAGTTGATGCAGCAAGAGAGTGTGTGGAACTTGCTGAAAGCATTGGCTTCGTTTTGCATATATGGGAATGCAAAAAGCTGGAGCTGCCTATGCAGAAAGTTATTCCCAGGAATGACAGAGTAACTCCAGGGAGGTAAAATGCAGTGGGGAACCCAAACATTTCAGCATGGGGGAAAAGGAGAGAGCCAGAATGTGTAGAAGAATTATTTAGCAGAAAAGGAGCTCTTGAATATTTGGTCAAACTCAGAGCTGTTGTTGCTCTCTTTGGGGCTGGATGTAGACTAACAATTTTCTTTTTCTCTATTTTCTTTCATTTCAGTGTTCAGGACAAGGATGGAGTACTAGATCCTACCACCGTCCCTGTCTACATTCCCGAAGTAACAATCGGAGGCACAGAGTTTGATAAAATCTATTACGAGTATCGATCGGTAAGTAATCCTGGAAGAGGAGCAGTAATCCTGGAAGAGGAGCAGCTGGACAGTAACTGTATGATTTCAGCTACAAAGGTGTGAGCGTATTGAAACCTGTCCTGTGCGTGGCCTGGCTGCTAAACCCATGCACATAGGTGCACGTTTCTAAGAGTAAATTATGGATTTGGGATCCCTACCTTTTTTGAAGTCCAGCTTCCACAWAAGAGGAATAACGAAGCAAATTGTTTTGTAAGCTGATTTTCTTCTTTTTGATCTTTAGATGTGGACTAAAGGATAAGTGCTTTTCGTTTGTTTTTGTTTTTTCCTGCCCCGATTAGTCTCTGACCTCTGCAATCTAAAATAATCCTTTGAGTCGAAGAAGAAAATTGGAAACCCATGGAGACTTCTAAAAAGAAAACTGCTCATAAAACCCTTTGGGAGGGGGGTGTTTTCTAAAGCAGGCTGAGGAGATAGGAGCATTACAGTGGCTCTCAGAGGAGCTGCTGCTTTAAATAGTGTGTTTCTGTTAGCGGGCACGCATCCAAAGCCTGTTGTGGCCCAGCACTTTCTTACACCTCATGCAGGCTCCCACACAATGTTTTAATTAGCTGCTTGCCTTTCTGCTTCTGGAGACAAGGGCTTCAAATGGACTAAGCCCTTAGTCCTATCAGGTGTTGCTTGGCTGGCAAGGGATCCTGTCRCACCAGGCCATGTTTTTCTTAAGGCCCAAGTATTGTAAGTTCTCATTAGGGAGATTGTGAAACTGATGCCAGTTGTTATTGTTTGGACAAACTTGAAATTGCAAGGCGGGGATTACTTTCTACTTTTTAAAATCTTCTCTGCCACTGTGGGTTTTTTTTTTTTTTTTTTTTTTTTTTTTTAAGCAATTCCTGAAGATGAAGGAATATGTAGAAATTGTTACCAACAACAGCTATCCACATAAGGAAAATACTGTCTTTTTTCTGCTCCTGTCAGTAGAACTAAAATGTGAGGTATAGTTTCCAAACAAGCCCGCAAAAACTCTTGAATTAGTAAATGCTTTTTTGAGTGGTCGCTTCAGAATTTCCTGTAGACACTCGGCATGATTTATTCCTGTGGCTGTGCAGTGCGGAGACTCTCTGAGTTCGTGCTGTTCAGCCTCATTTGGGTTGTGTAAGAAAATGTTCTTTGCGCTTCGTAAAAGAGGCTAAAGCTAAGGGTTAAGGTAGCAGAAAGCTCGTCAATATTACAGTTTATCTAGTGCCTTTGAAAGCTGCCTGGCTCATCCAAGGAATTGCTACCAGAACTTAATGCTYGGGGATATCACAGTTTAAATCAAAGCTGCAGGCTCAGACTGAGAGCGTTGGGAGCCCTTGGCTGCGCGGGACGTCTGTGCTGCAGCACGTGTGCCGGCATGAGCTGCTGCATGACTTGCCACCAGCGTGCAGCACCGTCTCGGCTAGCCCTGCCTTTCTTCTCGGAGATAATAGGCCCCTTTTTTTGGTTGAAATGTCACTTTGCAGCGGAGCAGGGAATTACTGAGGCTGCCCGACACACAGCTAGATGTGACCTCAGCGCTGCGCGCGGGGAGMCGGGCTGCTGGTTCTGAAAGGCTCTTCTTTCCTGAGCCTGCGGCAGGACGGTCCTCTTTGTGCTGGCAAGAAGCGGAGGATGCTGGATCACAAGCAAGCCAATTCCCAGGAAAAATGGGGACTTGCCTTGCAGGCGTAGTGCAGGCTTGCTCAGGCATAGGAATCTGAGTACCTAGGAAGGGAAATGGTGAATGTGGGTTACTCAGTTTGGTGGCTGTTGACAGATGAAATTGAATATTATCCACAGGGAGGAAAAACATCCTGCTTTTCCAAAATATAATCTTTTTGTAGGCATGTTTTCATGCCCTCATTCAGGAAAATACCATGCAAAGTGCCCCTGTCTTTTGGAATAAGAAGGGATCGTGTGCGTTTAATGAAGGGTTCTRTTGATTTGAGACTATCTCAGCTGCACTGTTTTTTCTGAGTGCTTTAACACTTGCTCTAAGCCTTCAGGTGTCTATTGGAGCCACTATTTAGAAGGCATCTAGCCAGGTTGATCTACCTGACCTCTTTTCTTTTCTCATCTTTCTGTAAAGCAGTGACCTGCAATGCTGTCTTTTCTCATTTACTTTTTTTTGTTTTTAATTTGAAAACAATCTTATTACTGAATAGCTTCTGTTCAGCCTTTAGCTGCTTCTTTGGTGTGAGAGAACCAGAGAACCATCTCCTGAAGCCAGTCATTTATTCCTTGTCATGGGACAGGTAAGAGATCTCTCATTTGTGAGAGAGATGCAAGGCCCCATGCGTGGTGGTCTCTGCCTTTTGTATAAAATTCCACAGGGATGGGTCATGACCTAAAAATAAAATGAGTTTTCTCTCTTTAGCCTTTGTAGTCAAGGTTCAGGCACAGCCAAGTGGAGATGATCAGAAGATTTAATTGCAGTGAGGCACTGGGCAGCCTGGGATGCTTTGCTTGTTCAGTCCTGGCCTCAGGAAGGATCTTTTCAACTTGGTGTCAGTAAGTCTGTGCAGGGTTGTGCCCAGTGCAAACAATGCTGAAATTTCCTACCTCTCATAAGCTACTGAAGAAAAGAAAGCTACAAGCAAAGAAAGCACAAAAGCAGCAGCTCCACCTACCTTTTTATGTTCTGAGATTTAAGTTCTTTGTGTTAAGATCTTCAYTTCCCCCCGCACCCCCCTAATTCTATTCAGCAAGTGACAGGGTGAGGACTCGTATTCAGAGGTTATTAGATCAACCAGTATGAGCAGAAGTCAGGATCATTTAGATCACAGGTCTTGACTGTGAGGTTGCTTGGTCTGATGAGGGTGGATTTCAGCCTCTGAAGCTTTGCCTTGTCGCTGTCCTGTGCACAGACAGGTACATCTATACTTCTGCTCCTGCATTTGCAGAGAGATAAAGATTTTAGGCTCACATGACATGTAATTAAAGACTTAATTATGGTGTAATTACATAACTTTAGTATTTCCGTGTGGGAAATGCATGCTTTTAAAGTTAGTATAATCTTTGCCAAGTAAATTCAGTGGTTTATGTAGGGGATTTTTTGTCCTCAGCAATCCTGTAACTATACATAAATCCTCGACCAAACAAGTAGACAGCAACTCCTTTGCTTTTCAGAGTTGTGTGCAGGCAGTTCACATTGCTCCTGCAGCTCGCAGGGCTTCTCAAATCCCAGACAGAAGCTGCGTTTTATTCAAATATTTCATTAGTCACAAGCAACTGGGGAGGAGGAGGAAATGTTTCCGGAGAACAAGATTTTAGGTACATTCATTTTTATTTAAAATCATGAGGTAGACACCTAGAGTTTTGAGATCTGTGAGGTGTATTTTTTTCATGTATTCCTTAAATTTCTCCTGTAGATCCTCTCTGCACTTGTGAGGGAGGAGGTGGGTTCTGTCTCCTCTCACCGTAAAATCATCTGGCTGAGTTGGGCAGTTTGGTCAGGCATTCACAAACTTCCAAAKATGCTTCTGGCAGGGGAAAAGTAGCCTTTGAGTCAGGTTCTGTAGATCCCTGAAAGGTAAGTGCGTTTATTCTTAAATGAAGTAACATTTTAGGACCTGTCAGACTAGTAAAGACTTGACTATTCTTTTTCTCTCTTTTTTCTTTTAATAACTGTTCCATCTCTGTGCTCTTTTCCAACCACACACACAATCCCAGCAGATAATGCTCCAAATTCTTCATGCTCCCTGTGAAGCTGGAGCACTTACGCAGATGTGCTTGCAGAGAAAAAGAAAACAAATGGGTCTATTTAACGGAATCAGTGTATTTAAATAATGTACTTATGCACTTCACACTCCCCAATGAGGTTGGCAGGTTCTGCTCCAGTCTCCTAGGGAGGTGAAGTAAGATTTTTCTTACATGTGGGCTCTTTTCTGCATATGTAAAAATGCAGCTGTGTGAGATTCTCATTCAAACCATYGCCTATCTCTTTACCTCTGAAAACTGAGCTGGAGAGCTTCGAAATGGCCTTTGGCACCTCTCCCCTCACTGCAGATAAGTGGAAATGAACAACACTTCTTTTACGCAAACTTGTGCTTCCTAAGTAAAAAGTTAAATTATTGGGTTGCTTATCACAAAGTCTCCTAGAGTCTGATTACTCCTGCTCACTGGTGAGAGTGATCTTCTTACTGGTGTTCACTTGTTTTCCCATTCAGATTTCCTTTCGAGGTGTGTTCGTTGCTTGGGATTTCTTTGAAGTACTTCTGTGAGCTAAAACTGTGCAGCCTGTTACATTAAACTTTACAGCCTGCATCTTATGCTCTAGGGATGTATTTTTTGTGTGTTTTCCCAGTCCTTTCCCTGAGGATAAGAGCAAGCTACTGGAGTATTCTCTCTAGTTTGGTGGAATTCTTTAAGCCTGCGTTTGTATACAAAAGAAAACCAACAAGTGTTTGGGTATGCAGCTCCTTCTTCATACAAAAAAGGGGTATACACCTAGGAGTTTCTTTTGTGTTAGAGCAAAGCCCGTATCAAAATCTTGTATCTTTTGTYAGCCCAATTTGTTTAGTTGGAAAACAAGAGAGTCGAGGATGTGCACCTTACCCTTGAAGCAGAAAGTTTGTGAGGAATCCTTTGAAGAATTTATTCCATGCTCTTGAACTACCTTCAAAGTTTCCTATTGCAGAGAGTTCCAGCTCCAGCGAGTGCATTTGCCTGTGTGTAAAACTTCCTTAATCAGTTTTGTCACCTTTCCATCTGCAGTGTTTTCCCTGAAGGTGGTGAATTAACTGCCTCTCATCCTTTCTCTATCCACTTATCCTTTTTTCCCCACCATCGAGCACTGGCTGCTTGCTGATCATTGGACACCGACTGTCAATCCTTTTTACTTCGACCCCTGCATTCCTTTCAGAACCCTTCATCGTTGTCAGTCTCCTCCCCTAAAACCTCCAGTTGTGTCTTGTTCTCAGGTAAGATAAACTTCAGTCATGCATATCCGTCATTGGAATAAATCAGACTCAAGTTACTTTATCTTTTTTCTATTTTAT